ACTGATAATCTCAGGGGTGGGGTTTTGAGCCCCACATTGGGTTAAGGTGTCTTGGACTTTAGCTAGGCATGAGACAGTTGGCCTGAAGCCATGTATGACAGCAGTCAAGAGGTACAGGGTGTTATAGTATACCCTGTACCGGGTAGTATTAGACACCTACTCTAAACTTTGCTTTCAGTGTAGTCCGGCTAGCTCAACTAAATTAGATGATTCTTAACTGTTAAGGCATAATAGTCCACTATTGGTAGGTTGTGAGGAAAGTCAACCCAGAAATACAACCTGATACCCTTCTGAGAGTTCATGCAGCCTGGAAATTTGATCCATTTGCCTGGTGTCTATAGCCCGGCTAGCTCAGTCGGTAGAGCATGAGACTCTTAATCTCAGGGTCGTGGGTTCGAGCCCCACGTTGGGCGATGGTGCTTTAAACCCAAACTACATCTGTGGCTGTGGTCTGCACTGCATGCCTAAAGTGTTGATGTGTTGAACACGTAACTGCAATGTGTCGCCTCTCCAAAACCTGACAATACTGAAACTTCACTGAAACTTAAGGGTTGACGAAAGGAACATTTACTGACCAAATGGTGACATGGGTTCAAATCCCACTCCCCACACTTAACCTTACATGAAAAAGTTAGAGAAGAGAGGATTTCTAAGAGAGATGTTCAGTCATTGATTCAATTCCCAATAAATGTGAAGGACAAGTAAAGACAGTGAATCCCTGTAGATAAGCTGTTGATGTTATTAGAACCCCACAGCAGCAGTTAACATCCGACACTGAAGCCTTAAGCTATACTGAGAACTTCAAAGAGAAGTGTTGGGTCCTTAAAGAACTTTCCCAGGGATGTGTTGGACAAATAACTGCAATGTCTTGCCCCTTCTAACACTGACAATATAGATTTATTGATGCTGTTATAGATTTTCCAACCCCTTTTCCACCAAAAGTAGCATGTCAACATCTGTGTAAAATAGGCTATAGACTCCTTTCCCATTGCGAGGAGATCAGCGCTGTGTACACAGCTCTGCAGCAGCAGGCAAGTATGCTGTTCTGTGTATGCGTATTTTTATCGGTGTGTCACATTTGATGTCACAGACGGGCCAGGTCACTAAATAGTACAGAACAGCATAGAGGCCAGTGAAAATGTTATAGTGGTTACTTCTTTTTATATATCTCTTACTTATTCAGTCTCCTTTCAACCCAGTGAACATAACTTTCTATCAGTGTTTGAGTGCTGCTTGGGTGGGGACGGACGGTATTTTGTGGTGCTGTGTCATTTCAACTCACTGGTAAGGGAGCTGAAATTAACATGCGCAGTATTTGGGTGTGTAGTTGTCAGGATGGCCGAGTGGTCTAAGGCGCCAGACTCAAGGGTTGTCTCCTTCCTCAGGAAAGGGACTTCTGGTCTCCAAATGGAGGCGTGGGTTCAAATCCCACTCCTGACATAGACTTTAGCTACAGGTTTCATTCCTGTAGTTTTACTAAACAGATTATCTCTCTGTTGTTTCTCTGTTAAACAAGTTTTCCTTGAATATGTACATGAAGCCTACAACTTCATGAACATATAAAATGGCTAAATTGACCATAAAATACCGACTGAGCTGCACAGGCAAGCTGGTTTTCAAGTACTGTACCAGACTGTGTCAGCACCAAAAGAAAAAATGAAAAGCACATATATGTAAAGTCGTCAGTACAAAGGAGACTAGAATGTATTAATGTCAGGTTAAGTCTTGTTATGTCTTGTTCACACAAATGGAGAAATATGTGTATCATCAAACTTTAGGACTGTGTCAAGGGTGGGATTTGAACCTACACATCCATCTGGAGAGCAGAGGTCCCTTTCGTGAGCCCTTAAGTCTCCCAACTTACTCTGCTGGGCAATATACCTATTAGTGCTATCATTATTAGCTTTCAGAGGATTATTCGTCCAACACATGCATGGGAAGGTGACTTGATGCTTGAACACTTTAATTTCAAGTCCTCAGTAGGTGGTAGACTGTAATAGGTTTATATAAGGTTAAGTCTAACTCTAGAATCTCTCCACCCAAAGTGGGGCTCGAACCCATTACCCTGAGGTTATGAGTCTCATGCTTTACCGATTGAGCTAGCCGGGCTAAACCGAGTAATAAATTCATCAAGTTTCCACGCCACATTAATTGTAATTGGTGAAGAATGCTCATCCAGTTGGCTTTCTGGGTCAGCTCCCAGATACATACATGTGTATGGTACAAGATATGTGTATCACCAAACTAAAGATATGCAACCTGCAGGTAAAAATCTATGTCAGGAGTGGGATTTGAACCCACTCCTCCATTTGGAGACCAGAAATCCCTTTCCTGAGGAAGGAGTCAATCCTTGAGTCTGGCGCCTTAGACCACTCGGCCATCCTGACAACTGAAAGGCAGTCTGGACTTCACAAGTTACATTTAAACAGAATTCACAGGTTTACAGAGTTAAGGCACATTTATACTTCTGTTATGTGTGAAAACAGATATGTCTGTTTCAAATATTGTAACCCTCATACTTCTACGCATCCTTTATGTTGGCATAGACACAACCAATAGATGGCGCTAGGGGGCAAAGTGGTTCAGATCAACTTATAGCAGTGTGTATTTTGGCACCAAACACAAACGTCCTGGGTTTATGTGGCAGTGGACCCTGCATTGACAACATACTTGAGTGTGTCTGTGTTCATCCATCACAAATCCAACATATCTGAGGGAAAGTGATGTGATGTGATGCGATGCGTGGATACCTCTCTGTAGAGTCTGTAATATACCCATGATAGTGTAACACACTCATCTCAGCTGTCCTTCAAGTTCAGAGTTTAAAACACCATCGCCCAACGTGGGGCTCGAACCCACGACCCTGAGATTAAGAGTCTCATGCTCTACCGACTGAGCTAGCCGGGCTATGGTCACTGAAATATTCTTCACAATTTGCTGGTGCATTAGTTGTAATTGGCTAAGAATGCTCATCCAGTTTGCTTTCTGGGGACTGTCAGTTCCTTTTCTCAGGAGTGTGTCAACCTTTGAGTCTGGGGCCTTGTTCTTAATGAGATAAAAGCATATGGACTTTTACTCCCTATGATTTGTCACAGCGCCACATTACACTCCATCCTTGACATGTTGTTCAACATGTTGCTCCAGGCATTCTGTGAAGGTGGTTTTATTTACTCCACCACCATCTCTGCTGTGTTAGAACAGTAGAAGCACCACCTTTCTGGGCTCTTTGTTTCTGCTAGCATTTCACACATTCACACTTCTGGAAAAATTAGTCAAGGACCTGTGGGATTCTGCAGCGCAGGTTTAAAGCTGAACTTTGACACCATGGAGAGCGGCACTGCCTCCAAGTATGTTCAGGTTTACTTCTCATATTTTTTGTGGAGTATTTTCTTTGTCTGTGTTGAGTTCTTTGCTGTTTTGTTAACCAGTGGTTGAAAAAATAAATTGTGGAATAGAGAGGCAATAAATAATTCAAATGGTGGCAGTTTACATGCTAAAGGACTTTGTGGAGAGGAGAGGAAGCGACAGACAGAGACAAATAAACATCCCTCCGCAGCTGTCAGTGTGTGTGTGTGTGTGTGTGTGTGTGTGTGTGTGTCTGTCTGTGTCTGCAGGTGCAGCAGGGACTCCAGGTTCTGTATATGGTTTCAAGATGAACTGTTTACTCTCCATGTGTGTTTTAAATATATGTGTGTGTTTATTTTAAGAAAACGGGGAAATGAATAATGTGTGTGTGCACGCCAGGGGAGGCTCTCTTCAACTTGACTTATGTGCATACACACACACACACACACACACACACACTCACTCACACATACACATATGCTTACATAGTCTCCACATACACACAGAGTGAAACACTTTTAGATCCGCTATCTCCTGCTCACACACACACAGTTAAAAATACAGTCTTTCATTTAGCTTTCAAACAAACACATATGAAAGTCGCATTCACGTTTTTCTTTCAGTTTCTGTCACATGCACACACACACACACACACACGCGCACGCACACACACACACACACACACACAAAAAAAACTCAGTCTGGCCTGCTTAAGCCCCTGCTCCTTGCAGGGCTCAGTGAGAGGCTAAGGGGATTTAGATTGTACAAGACTGACAGATTTAGACTGACTCCCTCCCTCGCTCTTTCCAGGCCTACTGTAAAGCTTAAAGTATAACTGTAACATGTGAAACAGATGGAGCAGCGAGAGAGGAGGAAGAGGAAGGGAGGAGAGGATAGAGGACAGTATGGAGGAGAGCGAAGAGATGATGATGCAGCAAAGATGGGAAATAATGTTGGAGGAAAGAGAAGCAGAGTAAGAGGAGAGGAAATGGAAAAGAGTGTGTGTGTGTGTGTGTGTGTGTGTACAGCACATGCGGTGATTTACAGGTCTTTGCATGTGTGTATAGTCTAATATTTGTCTTAGTCTTTATGGATCTCTCCCCAAGTGGCAAGTTAGCAGGCCTGTTATTCCTCTGCACCAGTTAACAAGCTACACAACAGGTGGCATGTCAACGGGTGTGAGTGTGTGTGTGTTTGCGTGTAGTTCAACATGTGCAATACATGTTATCTTTCTGTTGTCTTTAAATACAAGCAGAACCAACCATAACATTTAAAACTCAAACACACATGGACAGTCGGGAATGATCTCATCCCATCACTTTCTCCTTCTTGCTGTCCATTCTAGACTCTCTTTCTTTCTCTTTGTCTCTTGCACACACACACACGCAGAGAGTGTGTGTTAGAGAAGGCAAAAGCTCATGGCAGTCGTCCAATGCTCTCCTCTCTGCTTCCTCTCTGCAAATTAACTCCTGGAGGAATTCAAGGCTAGGGTTACCCTCTTATCGCACACACACACACACACACACACACACACTGCTTTGTATTGTTTTCTCAAACATGAATGTTGGTTGTTGCTGAATCACATGTAAAATCATTCTTACGGTCTTTTACGCGAGATATCAAAAAGATCTAATTGTTTGTGACTCTCTCTGTAGACTCAAAACCGGATGAAGCTGATGGCCGACAACTACGAGGACGACCACCTGAAGGTCTCCTCTCCAAGCTCAGAGCAGCCCAACAATCACAAGCCCTCCCCAGACCAGGTACACCAGCATCACTCTTACACAGATAAAAGCATGCTCTCAAATAACATTTCTAAATCTTCCTAACATTTTTATTAACAAGTCTACGTTCACAGACATTCCAGCAAGTAACATTTACATGTACTTATTTCTCTGATTACATATATATATTTCTTGCAACTATTACTGGCTAACATGTATTCAAAGTTTCCGAGCTTACTGTGTTCACCAAACTAACTTCCTGCTTTCTCCAAACTCACGCTGCGGTTGGACTGAACTAATCAATAGGACGATGAGGAGGGCATTTGGGCCTAGCAAGCCACATGCCTTCTTTCTCTCTCTCAGTCCACCATTTTGTACAGAAGGGTGAGCGTCTTCTTTATCTGGATCACGTTTGGTCGTGCTCATCATTCGTCTTCCGTCTTTCTTTTCTTCTGTTCCATCCGTGAGGTTGTGATCTGGTTCTGGTGCCGTGATTCCTTCTGTCATGCTCATTTCTTCCATTCTTTATTGCCTATTCATTCTTACAAGTCTTCTTTTTCCCTGAGATTGTCCTCCTCTCTTAGTAATTTGGGTTAGTCATTTTTGGGTTGGTCATGCAATTAATTTCCTCGCTTATTTTTGGGGTTGCCCACACAAAAATAGAAGTATGGTTCTTTCATTATCCATACAGGAATATTTTAAAATCAACTCTTGAATTTTGTGCCATATCTGCTCAGTGTCTCATCTCATCCTTTGATTTCCACTCTTCTTCTTCTGATTGTCGTTTTTCCCACAATCTCTGTTTCAACCTGCTCGTGTTTGTGTGTATTTTGTCATCTATTTATTATCACTTCTTTCCACTTTCATTGATCCCTTTTATAAATTCTGTGGACATGCTTTATTTCTTCTGATATTTTGCCTTCATTTCGCTCACTCCTAAGATTCTATCGTCTTCTGCGTGTACCTTGTTGTTACCGATACTCTTTTCAATCAGTGCATCTGTTTTATTTTGGATGTCAGTCTTTATGGTTTGAATTCCTTGATGACATGGTCATCTCTTAGCTGAACTTACTCAATGTGTGGGATGCAGTGGATGATTTAAGAAAGTTGTTGCTTTGCCAAACTGTACAGTAAAGAGTTTTGTTTTTGTTTGTTTTTTAGCAATGGGGATTTCCAGTATTTTTCATTAATTGCACATGCATGAGTAGCATCGAAAAACAAACTGCTACATTTAAATCTCAACATAAATGTAGGAAAGAAGTCTTTGTTAAGCACTTGTTGCTTTACTAATGCAAATCTACATGCTTCAACAATTTTCTTAAATAGTAACACATTTTGATCTCAGGGTTGTGGGTTCGAGCCCCATGTTTGGCAAAGATCTGCACACTCTGTCCACTTGTTAAATCACTCATGATGGATGAATACAGACAGACAGAAGTATGTCCACTCCATCAATGCACACTGTCCTAGGAATCCCCAGAGGCCCCACGATACAGTCTTGTCCTAATACAATATTATTGTGATTTTAAATGTTTTGCAACATGCTGAGTATTGCGATAACACATGTGGCAATATATAATGTAATTTATTACATTTTTTTCAACTGCAAATTACGTCCCCAAAGGAAAACTCTGTCAACATCTGTTTTATCTCAAAAGAAGATGACGTTTTCCATCTGTTCATCACACATCAATCATTTTTATTGCAGCAACATGTTTGTAGTGGACTGAAAAAGCATTTTAATGTTCTGTTAGGCTGTCAAAAGTTTAATTTGTATTTGCTGTATAAAAAAAATGTATACGATAAAAAATCGATACTTGGCGTCCATGTGTCCATACAATATTGGCGTGGAAAATATCAAGATCCTATGCTGCATCAGTTTTCCCCCTACTCCTAGTAATTACCAATTTCGGACTAGCAAATATCAGTTGAAGTCACAGATATTCAAATTTCTCTTGTCGTACTGTTGGGTGAAAATAATTCCCTATGAGACAGTGTGGCTTAACAGAATGCAACGCAAGCAAGCTTCAGCGACAAAATCAGTTTGATTGAATTGTTTTGCAGTGATGCATGATTTAATGTATAAGCAAAAGTAGCTCACATTTCAATTAAAAAAAAAGCATATATAAATCTACATGCCTTGATGATGTCATTCTTTATACAGCCTGCCTATCAATTGATTTTAAGCTCAGCAAATACAGAATCCCTCCCATCCATTTGGGACATTGAAATCTTCCAAGACACATGGAGAGGGTACACTAGCAAATGGAAACCCTGCAGGGTCCACTGTTAGATAAATTCACAGCATTTGTTGTCCATGGTGTTAAAAAGCATAGACAAATACAGTTTGAGAAGTTCATACACACAGCATGTACAATACTGGATTTTAACAGGATGATATAACCCATAGTCTGCTTTATCTATAAACTTCTGGTGTGATGTGAAGTTAGTGGACACAGAAAGCAACCTTCTGAGTGTTCTCAGCCCATGAGAGTGAGTGCAGCTGCGAAATATAACCCTTAGGGTGGGCAAATATAGCCCGGCTAGCTCAGTCGGTAGAGCATGAGACTCTTAATCTCAGGGTCGTGGGTTCGAGCCCCACGTTGGGCGGTGGACTTTTTAAACTCTGAACTTAAAGGACAGCTGAGATGGGCGTTACAAACTGTACTGTGAATATAAGCCTTTACAAAAGAGGTGTCCACTCATCACGTCACTTTCCCTCAAATATGTTGGACTGATGGATGAACACAGACACACTCAAGTATGTTCTCGTTGCAGTGTCCACTGTCACATAAACCCAGGACATCTGTGTTTGTTTTAGAGTGTGGTGCCAAAAAAACACACTGCTACAAGTTGATCTGAACCAATTTAATGTCTTTCCTAATAACATTGTCACTTGTTCCTGTAAAATTCCTCAGACAAATTAATTAGAAATTCATATTGAAAGTTTTAGAATGACATAATGCTGAAAGTTACTCTTATGTTTGGTCTGACATTATGAAGATGATTTGATCTACTGACAGGACAGTGGAGGCAACGCCACACATGAGTAGCTCATGCTGCTTTTAACGCAGCCTTGTCTGTATTTGTGCACGTGTCCTGAAAACTTGCAAATACAGACGACCCTGAGCAGTACAGCACAGACCACTGCAGTCTATAGCCCCCAATAAAAAGTACAATATTAAGACCTGTGATGTGTGTCTATGCCAACATAAAGGATGCATAAAAGTATGAGGGTTACAATATTTGAAACGGACGTATCGTATTTCATATGTAACAGAAGTATAAATGAGCCTTAACTCTGTAAACCTGTAAGTCATGTTTACATGTAACTTGTGAAGTCCAAACTGACTTTTGAATTGTCAGGATGGCCGAGTGGTCTAAGGCGCCAGACTCAAGGGTTGACTCCTTCCTCAGTAAAGGGACTTCTGGTCTCCGAATGGAGGTTTGGGTTCAAATCCCACTCCTGACAGAGATCTTACCTGCAGGTTTCATTTCTTTAGTTTGGTAATACAGATATCTTGTACCATACTGACTGGACAAAATCAACTGAGCTACATTGTGAGCTTCCACTGTGACTTTCATGGAGCAGACATGTCAGCAACAAAACATTCCCATCAATATTTTGGGGAGTCGACCCAGAAAGCAAACTGGATGAGCATTCTTAGCCAATAACAATTAATGCGCCACTGAAATGTGATGAATTTTTTAGTGCACATAGCCCGGCTAGCTCAGTCGGTAGAGCATGAGACTCTTAATCTCAGGGTCGTGGGTTCGAGCCCCACGTTGGGCGTTCATGTTTAGTACAGTGGGCTCAGAGAACAGCTGAGATGAGTGTGTTACACTGTACTTGGGATATTACAGACTTGACAGAGAGGTGTCCATTCACCAGATCACTTTCCCTCAGAAATGCTGGACTTGTGATGGATGAACACAGACACACTCAAGTATGTTGTCGTTGCAGTGTCCATTGTCACACAAACCCAAAGCATCTGTATTTGTTGAAGAGTGTGGTGCCAAAAAAAGAAACACTGCTTCAAGTTGTTCTTAACCAATTTAATGTAGAGTATTTCATAGCGCCAATTCCTGTAAAATTCGTCAGACAAATTAATTAGAAATTCAAATTAAAAGTTTTTAAATTAAGTAATGCTGAAAGTATCTCTTATGTTTGGTCCCACATTAATAAAAGCATTTGAAGATTTTTTAGAAAACGACAAAAAAAATCCTAAAAGCTTGCAAATACAGACGAAACGGAGCAGTACAACCTTAAATCATGGAGGCAGTGTAGCATATTTCAAGTGAGATACGATTGTAGGAGGCAACAAAGAAATTTAAATAATGGCAGAACAGAATAAATTGATAATATAGTGGAAGAATTCACCATCCACGTGTCAGAATGTAACGTTATATGGCTGCACAGACCACTGCCATCTACAACGCTGCCTCCAATAAAAGATCCAATATTCCAACCTCCTCCACCATCGCCTCTGTTGCTGTTGTGTGAAACTTTTGACTCTGCTCCCTAGCGCCATCTATTGGTTGTGTCTATGCCAACATAAAGGATGCATAGAAGTATGAGGGATACAATATTTGAAATGGACGTCTCTATTTTTGTACACAACAGAAGTATAAATGTGCCTTAACTCTGTAAACCTGTAAGTCATGTTTACATGGAACGTGTGTTGTCCAGACTGACTTTTCAGTTGTCAGGATGGCCGAGTGGTCTAAGGCGCCAGACTCAAGGATTGACTCCTTCCTCAGTAAAGGGACTTCTGGTCTCCAAATGGAGGCGTGGGTTCAAATCCCACTCCTGACATAGATTTTACCTGCAGGTTTCATTTCTTTAGTTTGGTGATACAGATATCTTGTACCGTACTGACTGGACAAAATCAACTGAGCTACACTGTGACTTTCTCAGGGTCGTGGGTTCGAGCCCCACGTTCAGCGTTCATGTTTGGTACTCTGGGCTCAGAGGACAGCTGAGAGGAGTGTGTTACATTGTACTGGGACTATTACAGACCTTACAGAGAGGTGTCCAC